AGAGATGGATCGCCCCATTTCTAATGCAACACAAATTATGACTAGTGTTCTGATGCCAGTTCTAATAAGCTGAAATACCACACATTTACTGATGTATCAAACCATTCCCCTCTCCAGGTATTTAGTTAAAGTTTTTTTCACTGGGACAGCCTCCTGAGATACCTATCTGATTGCTCTCAAATTCAAACCTGCCCAAATAAGATAATAAAAATCATTACCATGTAGCCTGGGTCACCCTTTTCTCCCATCTTTCCTGGATACCCAAGTGATCCCTTAATGAAAAGAAAAAGTAGTAATGTTTTCATGTTTTAAAAAACATTCATTGAGGTCAACAGAAAATGAGAAGCAAAACTATTTACCTGCTCTCCATTAATTCCATCAATCCCGTTGTCCCCGTCGTCTCCCTGAGGTAACAAAAGAGATAGGGATTATATAAGACCCAGTGATCTAAATAACCAGGATGTGCTCTCAGTCCAGCAAAGACGGTGTCCATGTGAACTCCCGTAGCTGACCATGGAAGCCAAAGCCATCCACAGATTTTAAAATATACAAATTAATGCTTAATATATCATTTCTTACATCTGCCCTAAGTACAACAGTAGAATAGACACTATGTCCAACCCTCAAAACAGGCTAAAAGGGATTAAAACCCCAATAGTACACTCACTGAAGTCCCTGGCTGTCATGGACTTTAACAGGAGCAGAATGAGGACCTAAAATAGTGCATCTGCGCATTTATTTTCCTTTGATGCTCCAGGCTATTGGTCAACTTTAAGGGTCCAGACAGACTTCCAAAGTTAAAGTGACCACTAAAATGAATGAGGAGGAAGAGACCGACGTGAACAGTATTTACCAATAAAAAGACCAGTAAGATAAATACAAGCTGAAAGTCAAAATGGTACCCAACTTTGATGTCATTCCAGTACATTTCTTTTTCTTTATGTCACATGGAAGCCTTAACAGGGACATGTATTTTGTTTTTAATGACTTGTTTTTTCTTGACTGTAAAACTGGTGTCTTAAACACAAGCAATAAATAATGACCCTGCATAATTGCTAATAGGGTGCTGGCTCCATGTGGCAATGGTCACGTCAAATTATATTTTCAGTAACGTGAATATTTCTATAATTCAATGTGAGTGTGATGCTATATGGATTATGTGGGACACTATGATATAGTTGACACCAATATTATAAAATGCAAGGACTCTGACCAGACATGACGTGTGAGGTTTCTGCAAATGTGTTACAATTTGCCAAGTATGATAATCTTATTTATATGTTTGTATTACCTTTGTATTGTGAGTTATAGATATGAAGGCATATCTCCATTTCCAAACTTGTGCTGTTTTTATGGGTGACACCCCAGACAGATTGGCATCAGCACTGCCTAGCCTGTTTGATGGCCCATCAACGTCCATTGACTGTACAATGAACCCATTGAAAGGAACCAGGGAAGACAGCTTATGACTCAGCAAGGCATATAGGGGCATGCCTATGGACAGAACTCTAAGGTTTTTCCATGGCCTGTGCTGGACAACTTGTGTTTGGAACAAAAGTAGTACAAGCCACGTGGCAAAAGAAATTTAAAAGGCAGCTGGCTGCATCATCATCTCCATTTTGTCTTCAATCCTGCTTCTGGTCTCTGCAGTAACTTTTCTATAACTGAGGCTGAACAAAGGACTGAATGACCCATCCAAGCTGTGGATGTGTTCCAGAGGGACTTTCAAGGCAGCAAACTTACCAATACTGCTAAGAACCCGATATATGGACGTTGAAGTCTCTGTATGTATTTGATTGCTTCACCATTTTACAACTCTCTTCTTGTTCTTTTTTCTTTATAATAAACCTTTAGTTTGACACACTGAAAGATTGGCTGGCAGCATGGTATTTTGGGTAAGATCCAAACCTATACTGACCCAGTAATGTGGCTGGCCCTTTGGGGTCAGAGGAATATTTTGTATATGTGAGCAGAGTTGTAAAATAACTCACTGGACTGGACCTAGGTGCTGACTGGGAGCCAGAGAACTGGAATGCAATAAAGGGGGCTGCATGATTTCTTTTTTTTTGCTTCTTGATAACCAGTGGAGGAGGATCAGAAGCACAGTTTGTGACTGGTTGGAGAGTTTACTTTGGTGTTAACGACCAGTCTTTGGGAGAATCTGCTCTCCTTTTTGCAGCCTGCCCTGACCTTGGCATTTCCAGTGAGGGCTGCCTTAGGCACCAGTGGTCACAGTAAGTTTTTACAATCTTACTGCAGAAAGCAAAAGTGAATCCCTAAGCCCTGAATTAAACAAAAATAATTTGCAGTGTGATGAATCCAAGAATCACTTAGCATTCTATTCTCTTGGGAGTCAACTCCTGGGTAAAGACCACAGGATCGAGCCTTTAAATGGCATCAGGCTCATACCAAAGATCTTCAAACTTAAGGATACTTACACGGGAAGATGAATTAAGACAACGTGTCTATATGAAGGCGAGGGTATACCTTTTCTCTTCTCCCTCCTCCTTTAATGCACTTTCATTTCTTATTTATGCTTTCAGCCATCTCACCTGATTTGTAGTCAAATCAACACAAAGTTTTTCAGAAAATAAGTATCAGTACTGTACCTTTTCACCAGGTATTCCTTGGTATCCCTGAAAAGAAATACAAATATTTGTTTGAATGAGGTAAACAAAAAATAAATGCAAAGACATTTTGCTGAGTTAAAATAAAGTCAGTAGATTCTTACTTTAGGACCTGTACTACCATCACATCCCTTATTCCCTTGCTCTCCCATTGGTCCAGGCTGTCCTCTTGAACCCTGAAAGAGAGAGAATGAAAAACACATCTCAGTATATCCTGCCTAGTAAATGAAATATGAAGTTTGTAAGGAGAGTGATCAAGTATTTGATCAGGGGATGACTATATTCATGAGATGATGTAATACTAGAAAGGGAGCGTGTATGTTAATGAATATGGTAAATGTCTGAGAAAGCCCCACATAAGCTACATGTTTCAGAAGCCTGAGGAGACTCAGATTGAGCTAAGTGCTTGTGCAGTTAAAACCGCTGTAGTTTCTCTCCGGAGTGCTTACAAAATATTACAAGCTTCTGATAGTTATATAAGAGTTTCATACCAAGTGTAATCACTTTGCATAATGCAAAAGAAAGTTCTGAATTGAAAAAGCAAATTGACAATTAATGTTGCTCACCTCCACTACAGATAGCAGTGGGGCACTTTCCTTCATTCTGCTCTTAATAGTACTCTACTTAGAGAGTTCCTGCTGGAGGGGTGGGGGGGTGGGAAGAGAAGAGAAGATGCGGCGGGAGGGGAGGGCCAGAGGAGGAAGAGGGTGTTGCTGCAATGAAGGCCTAGGCCCAGTGGGCAAGAAAAATAATCAATCCATGTTTTTTTCAGTGAGCACAGTCCAAAGGCCGAATTCTGCTCTCAGTTACACAGGAGTGTGGTGCAGTGCAGAAGCTGTGCTGGCTCTACACCCTTGTGGGACTCTCCAAGGGGAGAGGAGGGCAGAGTCTACTCCCTTTGCCCCACCTGAGCAGTGCAAAGCAAGTGGGGCCGTGAATCTGCTCCATAGTATCGTGACCCTAAATTAGACATTAAATACAATCTAACTCGCCTCTTATCAAGTGCTAGAACAGTGTCTCTGGTGTACTTCTCATGTTGCTACTCATGCAGTTCTACTAGTGTTTTACTTGTCAGACCACATTCTGGTATTTTCTGTCTTAGTGCACCCAAGCACATTCCGCTATAAGCGATAATTCAGGAGCCACACCATTAACAGGTGTGGTTTAAGAGAGTGGAAAAAAGCACAAATATAATCCGTCCTATCTGTTGTGTTTCTTAATCTGAAACAAATAGTCAGAATTGAAAATACTGTTTCCTTTTATTGGGCTTGAATCACCACTAGGTTACTCAGTGTTATGCCCATGTAACTTCATGCGTTACACAGTGGAGTAATTGAATGATGAATCAAGCCGTGTATCTGGAAACACAGAAGGCATGAAACCCAATTATTTATAAATGGAGTGGTGCACATTAGTAGAAAATGTTTCCTAATGTCTTTCTTGTGCCATGTACTCCGTCTCAGCAGCTTGCAGACAGCAAAGATTACATAACTGCATACTATGGGTCCAATAGTGAATGTGCATGCAAATCCGTGCCTACTTTGCATACCATTGAGGATATTATTTACACACACGGCTAGATAAGTTCCGAACTAAATAGGCACCTATATAGGAATGTGTGTGCACCAGTTTGTACACGTACTTTGCATGTACGTATTTAGTTCACATGCAAATACTTGCCTGCCTACTTGCTGAAAATCAGGTTTCTCTCTTTTCCCTTTGTTTATTGAATCTTAGAAATATAGGCCTGGAAGGTACCTGGAGAAGTCAAGAAGTCCAGCCCCTGCACTGAGGCAGGAACCAAGGGAGGAATTATTTTAATTTCTTAATATTTGGAAAAAATATAAGCCTAGAATTCTCATGTAGACCAACAGGATTTTAATCAACAATTTATGTAAAAGCTTCTCCAAGAGATCCCCAAGTTCTTTTAGAAATTAAAAACGAGAAGGAACTCTAAATTATCTACAATTCTAGAGTATTAAACATTGACAAAGTGCTGAATTTTGACAGTTTTTTTAAAAAAAGCTATGACCATTTTATTTTATCAGAATGATTTCTTTGGTATCAAGATTAGGAAATCCCCCCTTCCCCATCAGGTTATTACATTTTTTTAAATACTGACCCCCAAAAAAGTCTTTATGGGCACTAAGTTTTGAAGTATTTTTTTCTCTGTAAAATGTAGTCAAATGTTATAACTTACCGGCTCTCCCTCTTCTCCTAAGTGTCCTCGACTGCCTTTTATACCTTTAGATCCCTGAAATTCAGACAGAAAAAAGTAAAGATTAATACTAAAATTCTCTTCGCTTAAAAAGGTGAAACTATTAAGGATTGTCCTGACACAGTACTTTATTTAGGAATGGCTAAAATTTTGCAAAAGGCAGTTTTATTTTGTACATTGCAAATTTCATTCCTTTGTCGACTGTATTCAAAGCACTCTTAAAAAAAAATTGGAGAAATGGGTTCAGCAAAGAAGGATAAATAGATAACTTACAGGGAGGAATCATTTTAATTTCTTAATATCTCAACTTCTTTTAGGACAGAGATTCTCAAACTGTGGTCCGCGGAACACCAGTGGTCCACGAGCTCCATTCAGGTGGTCTGTGGATAGTTCCCTCTAAGGTGTGTGCCTGGGCAGCCACACAAGAGAATGAAGGGCCACCCACCTAATTAGTGGAGCTGCTCAGGCATCACTAATTAGCCTGGACCCTGGAGAAGACACACATGTAAGGGGAGGTGGTGGCCTTGGGGAGGGAATAGGGGGCAGGTGGGAGGAGGCAGTGGGGTGAGAAGAGGGGGTGGGGGGAATTTGGGACATGCAGGGCTGCGGTGGCCTGAGAAAGAGGCAACTTTCCCCAACTTGGGGGCTGCCACGGCAGGGGAGACCCCCCACTCCTGCCCAGCCCCAACTTGGGGGCTGCCACGGCGAAAGAGAGAGGAAACATCCATTGCATTAGAAAGGTAAGACTACGGATATTAAAATATGAATTGTGTGCTTTTATTTGTAGAACAAAAAACGATCATTAAGATTTTTTT